CTTACCTCGTTGGACACACTCCCTTCCCACTGACCTTTGCATGTCAGAATAGACCATTTGTAATTTACGCAAATGAGAAACATGAAGGTCAGATGCAACATTCACCAATTTCATCTAATCAAAGGCATACCCTCCCCAAATCTAAAATATTTAACAGTCTGCAGCCTATGCTCTGTTGACTCTGGAAACTACACCAAACACAATTTTAAGACATGAGATATTTCTTTTCTATCTAGGATCATTCTTTGATCTCTTCATATTTTCCCCTGAAGCGGTTGGACTTAAGCTCTGTAATTTTGGCTGGGATAATTCTCATCTCAAGCAATTTTTTTTCCTTTTTTATACGTTTCTTGATATATTTTTCAAGGAACTTACCCATATCCTCTAAGTTGTGAAATTCATTGGCATAACATTGACCATAATATTGCCTGATGATCCTTTTGATGACTGCAGGATCTATAGTGTGGCTCCCTCTTTCATTCCTGGTGTTGGAAACCAGAGCTGCCTCCTTTTTCCCCGATCAGTCCACTGAAGGATTTGCCCTGTACCTTTCAAATCAATGCTTAACTCAGACCGTCTCTGACCTTTTCGCTTGTCCTGAAACGCAAGTCAGCAGCTGGTCAGCAGCTGGTAAACTTACAGGATGGGTGAGGTCACGGTCAGATGAGGGGGTAAAGGTGCAGGTGAGGTCAGAGGCAGGGTCTGTGGAGGGTGGGGAGGCTGATAAGAAGGGAGTTTTGTGACTCAGAAGCTGGGTGGGTGCAGAATACAAGTGCAAAATAGCACAGCTACACACCCTTCCGCAGTTATTACAGGCAAACTTCCTGGTAATGTATTGTTGAAGGACCATTTCCCAGTACTTTCTGCAGAGGTCTGTCGTGCTCCACAGCTGTATGTTAAACTCACAGGAACCTCGGGGATGTTGAACTGCATATAGAGTGTCTGGTTCCCCCTGTAAAATGGGAAGGAAGAAACACAGGACTTAAGACTCCAGAGAGGGTCAAAGGGCTCCATTTTCAAATCTCTCTTTATGTGAACCAGTTACCTCTGAGAAGTTTGAATTATGGGAGAGTCTTCATTTCCAATTTCCCACAATGGTGTGAATTATTAATTATTTAATAATAAAAGTGCATATTTTATTACTATATATGCTGCAGTTGGGAAAACTCAAAAGTGCGCTAAACAGCAAAGAAAAAGTCTGATCAAACGAGTCATCAAGAATAAAAATTTAAGGCCAAGCTGAAGACCAGTAAAAAGCAAACTATGAAAGCCTCAAGTTCTTGTGGAAGGTGTCAAGCGCCTGCCTCGGCTTCAGGTCAGACCCAGCACAGAACCCTGTCTGTGCTCTCAAGCACCAGGGGCAGTTTGAAAACAGTCCTTCTGTTCAACAACCACCTGCTCACATGGGCTGTGCAGTGAACCTGGAGCCATTAGCCGACCCTCCACAGAGACACACAGTGGCACAGAGACAGTCAGATTAGCCTTCAGCAGAGTCCTGAGTAGATGAAAGAGCCAAGCGGAAAGTTTGCCTAATGTGAGTCTCAAGCTCCCTCAGGTTAGCAATGTGGGTATGGAGGATGGACCACCCCCTCTCCTCCTGTGTTCTTGATTTGACCACTTGCTTTTCAGGAATCATTTGCTCCTGGTTTTAAAACGGGAGCCTGGTCTGTCTCATAATCTGTAAGACAAGATCTTCAAAGTGACAAACAACCCTGAAAGAGACTTTTATTCAGATGAGATAATTAACACTCATCAAGGATACAGTAAACCATCACTTGGAAATCCCACTGAGTGCAGGAGTTCCTATTCCTTGCAAGGCCCTGGACCCCTTTGTGAACTAAGGGTGGCATGGACCCTTGCTCCATAAGCAGGCACATCCAGGCATACAAAATGTGATCTCAGCTGGCTCACCAATCCACCAAACCCAAGTGTGGGTCCTGCTCAGAACATCTGCTCTAAGGGGTTCACTTCTGGGCAGTGCTCCCCAATGGGGATTCTGAGGAGGATTGGATGGATGCTCCAAGGTTCTCCCTCACTACCCGCTCTGTGCTCACCTGTGTTCAGGGGTGAAGCCATTTGTCTTAATACGTTTTCTCTAGGTCTTCGCAGAGCCTGCCATATGTTAATATTCATGGAGAATCTTCTCTTGGTTATTTCCCAAACATCTTTCCTCCAGTCAAGGAAGTGTGGTCTATGGTCACACCTCCCATGAGGGCCTGCAGCTTCCTGACTCATAGCAGACGCCATGCAAATGTCTTCAGCTGGAAAAAGCATAGCGCAGAGATGGTGGGGGGAGTGGGAAGCTACAGGGCTAGCGAGCTAACAATATCCGCCACCTCCTGTTCAAGGACACGGGAAGCAGGGTGGAGACAGCGAAGAGCTGAGGGGAATGTGTAACCATCTCAGGGAGGTCCCTCCCAGGAGACTTCGCTCCGGGAGCCCCGGGAAGAGTTGCTTACCGCCAGCCTCGGGAGCACGCTGCCGTGGGAGGTGGCATCCTCTGCTTCCTCCTCATCCTGTGGGGTCAGGTGTGCTGGATGGGCAGGCAGGCTGGGGGCAGGGTGAGGTGCAAGGTTTCACATACTCACCTCACACCTCACAGCACGAGGAGGCAAAGTCAGACTTTGATAAAATTTAATAAAAATCTAATTTCATTTAAAGGTTTTTATTTTTTCCTTCTGGCCTTCCCCAAGGACATATTTTTCTTTAAATAACGCTTTTGTTTTTAAATGTAATACTTTATTTTTTAGGAAGATTGGCCCTGAGCTAACATCTGCCATCAGTCCTCCTCTTTTTGCTCAGGAAGACTGGCCTGAGCTAACATACGTGCCTATCTTCCTGTATTTTGTATGTGGGACGCCTGCCACAGCATGGCTTGATAAGCAGTGCGTAGGTCCACACTCGGGATCCAAACCGGCAAACCCTGGGCCGCTGAAGAAGAATGTGCAAACTTTACCGCTGTGCCACCGGGCTGGGCCCTAAAGAAGCTTTTTTATTGTGGAACTTTTCCTACAAACTCAAAAATGAAGAGAATAGTACGATGACCCCTGTACCCATGGTCAGCGTGGCCCGGACCTGAGCCCTATACCACCCACACCCCTCCTTCTAGACCCTCCTGGGTTATCCTGAAGCAAAGCCTAAATATCATACCGTTTCAGCCTTCAGCATGAATTCTAACAGACATCGGCGTAAAAAGTATGTCTTGTGATACTATTAGCATATGTGAAACATAATTTCTTAATTTCTTATATAGTATCAGCCAGTGTTGCCATTTCCTAATTATGTCACGAATGCCTCTTTTCAAATACTTTGTTCAAAACAGGATCCAAACAAGTTCTGTATATTTCATTCAACTGATATGTCTCCTCTCTCTCTCTCTCTCTCCCTCTTTTTTTTTTTAACTGAGGCTTAAAATACATGCAGTCAAGCACACTGGTTTTAATTGCGTGACTTAGTGAACTAATTGTGTGCACATCTAGACCCACAGTCCAGGTCAGGTTGTGGGGCATCGCGGCTCCCCACTGCCTCCTGCCTCTGCCGTCAGCCTAGGAGGAATCTCTCGTCTGGTTTCTCGCAACACAAGTTTGTCTGCCTGTTCTTGAACTTCATATAAACAGAATCATGCACACAGTATGTGCTCGTTTGTGTCTGGCATCTTTTACTCAGTCTCCTGTCTGTGAGATTCACCCACGTTGTTGTTCTTTTTGTTTTTTTTGGTTTGTGTGCGTGTGCTCTTCCATTGGTAAATGCTAAAACTTATTTTGCCATCTCTGTTTATTCGGGTCGTTTCTACACTTTGGTGTGATGCTGTGATGAATATCCCCGTGTGCATTTTTTGGTGAGAGGAGCACTCTTCCGTCCCCCACGTCTGGAGAGTAGGGTAGGTGTAGTTTAACCTCTGGAAATATTCCCAAAGAATTTTCCAAACTGTATAAATTCCGGCTGTCCCACATCCTTATAAACACTTGATATTTATTTATTTTTAACCCATTTTGATGTGTAGTCATATCTCACTATGACTTTAATTTATATTTTCCTGGTGACTAATGATATTAAGCATCATTATTGGCCTATTTTGATATCTTATATTGTGAAGTACCTATCCAGGTACTTTTGCCCACTTTTTAAAAGTTGGGTTGTTTGTTTTTGAAGTATTTTTATATGTACAACAGTTTTTTCTCCCAAAATATTATGAGAAGAACAATTTATCTACAGTGGACTAGAATGGAGTAGGTTGGGAGTAGACAGTTGGAGAGCGGGAGAACGGAGATTAAGCACAGTGAAAGTGCTAAAAATATGGGGCCTTTAGCAGATTCAGAAAGGATGGGATTAAGCAACGTGTCTCTTGCTTTTCAAAATCCATTCCTTGGGAAAAACGTGAACATAAAAATAAAACAAAATGACTCAGTGATTTACAAGTATGATGCAAAAACTGATGATTATTGAAAAGATCTTATACCAATGGATAATAATGAGTAGCAAATAAAAAGAGTAAAAATTTGGAGGAGAATGTCATGGCTTCTATGTAAAACTGTTTCTCGAAAAATACTACATATTATACTCTTTCTATGCCATACTAGGGCTCACACCAATACATGACATAAGATAGCCTTATTTTATCCATGGGCTTTAAAACATTTAGAGAAATCCTCACCATTCTCTTTAATGATGACCTTTTTTGTGAGTATAAATTGCAAGTGATCATTTCCTTATCATCTTATCAGCCTGACCCACCTACTTCCACACGTCCCCAAGTCCCCGATAATCTGTCCCTGCCTCCTTTGAAGCTGACAGCACGCTGAGGGCTGGTCCCATCGGGTGTGGAATTTCCTGCCCTGGGGGCCTTGCCTTTCCTGAAGAAAAAGTGAGACCATCCCAACGGGAAGGAAGAGGCGCTCAGAGCTAGCGGAGTTGCCCACTCCCAGGGACATCTGCAGGGGACCCAGCTCAGCAGGCCTCCCGGAGGACTTCTGATGGGCCAGTCCACCTTACGATCAGGCTGCAGCCATCCCAGGGCAGTGCCAGCCACAACCATCTCCCTCCCGGCAGCTGTGTTCAGGCCTAGCTGATTGGGAGGGCCCATTGGCAGCACAGGGCTGCCGGGGGGCGTGGCTGTAGAGCCTAAAAGGCCCCGCCCTGCAGGCCTGCTCCAGCTCTCTCTGTTGCCTGGGGCAGGCTCTCAGGAGCAGCTCCGAGAGTGTGGAGGGAAGAGAAACGAGTTAAGGAAGGAGACAGGGCTCAGGTCATGAAAGGGAAGTCTCCAGAACAGGGAGAGAGTCCACAGTGGTGTGTCACAAGCACCAATCCTTGGACCATTGGGGAAACGGCTTTGCCTGTGAGGTGAGAGCTGGGGTGCTGGGTACAGGGCTGTCTCGCCGAGATTTGCTGGAACAGAACACAGAGGTGCCGGGCAGAGCATTGACTCTGGGGTCCAGTGGACCCCTTCCTGGGCCACCCGACCCTGGGCAAGATGTCTAATCTCTCCGCAGCTCAGCTTCCGGGTGCCAACATGCTCGTAAGCTGAGTGGACGCAGGGTGATTGTCAGCAGCACATACATGAAGGGCTGACTCCGAGAAGGTGCTCAGGAAGAGGAGACTCTGCTGAGCTCTCAGTGGGTCAGGCAGCAGCTGGAGAAGGATCCCAGGAAGGATCCTGAGGAAGGGTGAACTCTCTTTTTCAGGGAAACCTCACTCCCCTCCCTGACTTCCCTCTGAAATACACAGGACGAGCTCCAGAGAGAGCGCTCGCCCATACCTCCTGGTGGTCACTTCCCAGATGCATCAGGGCACGAGGCCCAGGGTGCCCTGGGTTGATCTGGGCTGGGTGCCGGCCTGTTAAAATCACTGGGATGAAAGGAACACTGTCTGCGACTTCACGTCAACAAAGGCAAATGGATAGATAATTCTGGCTAAAACTGATGAGTTATTTTATCTTTTTTCAATTGTTTTTTAAAATATCCGGTCGCTTAATTCATTAGGCTGTCCAACTGGCATGGTTGATTTGGTAATCTTTCCAAAATGTTGTTCCTTTAGAGTTCTACTCATGGACTTAACTTCACCTTATTCTTCTCCTACTCCAAGGAATATGTAAGTGAGAAACAACGTTCAGAACCTTCCCTGCTCACCTGAATGCATTCAGTGACCGCTCGTTCAGTTCGTCACCCATCGTTCTTTCATCTCACAATCCTCATTGGGCAGTCCCCCGGCCAGGTGGTGTGCTTGTCACGGTGGACTCAGGACATGCAGGTCTCTGAAGGTAAGGAGCCTATGGTCTTGTGAGGGGAATATCGCCAAACAGGTCATCACACAGGATGACGGGTGCTTCAGGGGGTCCTTGTGACACTTAGAGTGAAACACTGGAAACACTCCAGGCTTAGCAGTAGAGAAGAGCTGAATCAGCTGTGGGGTCACCATGCCATGCACTACGAGGAAGCAGTTAAAATGAGAGGGGAGGATGTAAATACGGTGACAGAGAAGGACCCCCGAGACATGTGGCATAATATACCCTTCAGGAAGAACATATATATGCTTTCTCTGTGTATGTGGGCATCGTGTAAAAATATTTTACCTTGTATACTGTATATATTGTTCTGAAACAATTTTTATGTAGCCATAGATACAGGTAAGGCACAGGTACAGATAGAGGTGCAAGTCGAGGTAAAGGAAACACAGAAAAATCTAAATACTTACGCTAGGTTAGGGCCAGAAGGTTGAGATTCAGATTGTTTTCAAAGGGGAATTTAGCTTTGTCAAATGTTTAGGTGTTTACAGGGAGAATGTATGAATCTATTATTTGTATAACAAAATTGTAACTAGATATTTCCATTTTGCGAAAATAAAATGGAGAATTAAAGATATAGTCTAAGAAACTCATGTGACAAACGGAATAAGAGAACTGTACAAATTTTGAAGGAGATTTTGTGTGATTTCTTTGTTGGTGTGTAATTTCCCATTCAATCATTCAAGGTTATCAACCTTACTTCTGCAATTATTTGAAGTTGCTTACAAAATTCTCAGTATATAGGTCCTTATAATTCATCAAAATAAACTATATTAAAACTATGTGTATGTTGTACGTGTGTGAGTGTATTTGTGTCTGTGTATAATATATGGCAGATGTCATGCGGCACTGACTCAGTCCTGAGTTTGAGCTTCCTGGTAGTTAAAAGACAATCTTCTATACTGATATTACCACAAAGACACAAGCAATCTCCTCTGAAGAGTAACCTTTTTCTTGAAACTGAATGCAAAGAGGAGTTCATTTAAGGGACCCTGATATCAACCACATTGGGGTAGAAGCATGGGCATTATCTTCCTATGGTTTTTCAAGACTCATTAATATTACTCAAATGGATGCTTCATTTAGGCTGATGGCTCTCAACCCCATAAGATGCAATATTTTCTGTTTATAACAAATATTTTGTAACTCCTTTTGCACTATCAGGGAAAGAAATTAATGGATAATATAGCCTGCTGAACTTCATAACCGCTCCAATCGTAATATTAGGGAGAGGTAAAAAGACTGTAACGTGTAATAACAGATGAGTTCAATACATAGGTGCTGCAACATGAATCCAGGAGAAAACAAAAGAAACAGCCCGGGCCTAAGCATGTGGACTCATCCGACCGCAGAGATGCCAGCAGTTCTGTCAGCTTCCTGAACCCGTGGATGGTGTCGCTGTTTGTGTTCTGCTTTTTCCAAATCATTGGAAAACGCCTGGTCGAGTTCTGAAAGAAAACCATGTCAGCTCCTCTCCATTTGCACAAAACTGGATATCCTGGAAATTATAATGCATATTAAAACTGTGGCAGATACCTTGTTTTTCTTTGTAAGTCAGATTTAGATTCTTGGATAAAATAGTTATAAACAAGTTTCTCACCTACAGAAATACCCAGAGGGATATCTCCAAGTAGTGTGGGACCTGGCGCGGATTGTTACTGATATGGGATCTTCTTGCACATTGAAAACCATTAGACATCCATGGGATCTTCTCACTAAAGCCAGAACTATCCCCACTGTTACAACCAAAAACACTTCCAGAAATTTCCAAGGCCCCCTTGGAGAAGGTCCCGTTCCTACTGAAAACACTAAGCGGGGCACGCAATAGCCCTGACTCATGGTCTTAGATTGAAGTCCTCCAAAAGCCAATGGGGTAAGGAGGAGTGTGCAGGGGCTTGTGTGTGGGGCATGACTCCAGGGGCAGGAGGGGTGCGACTGTGAGCCACAGCCTTGATTCTGCTGGGACCTCCCAAGAGGAGTACAGAAAGTCACCAGAACCTTTGACTGGAAGGAGAGGAGGCAGGAGCATTTACCCACCAACTGCTGGCCCCACTGGTCAAGGTGTTGCCTCGAGATGCTACGGGCTTCACACTTCTGGGCCCACTGGTGCATAAGATGAGGGTGCTCAGGCCTGGGGCACTGAGACACCGTCAGCGGGAAGGAAGTCCCAGCCCACACGGGACTGTGCCCTCTTGCAGCGGGACGGTGAGGGAATGTGGGTCAGGGCGCAGAGGCCTCTAATATACTCAGTGATAGCTCTTCCTGGGGTGCACACTGATTGTCTAAGGGGACCTCAGGCATTCTGTCCACCCAGCATGCGGCCACGGAGAGGAGGCTTTGGACAGGCCATCTAGTGGGACAAATGTGAAAATGTGGAGTGTTTCAGACCTGCATCCACGCAAAGCCAAGACTGCAGCCACTGGGATAAATACTGGTCACATCTTTGAAGGCACAAGGGTTGGTCTGTTTGACAAATTAACTTTCCAATTCCACCTTCCTGGCAAGCAAGCCTTCTTTTCCTGTCCCTGTGTCCATCCTCCATTCCTGAAGAGACATGTGTTTCCCAAATGGCTCCCAGGGGAACATGAGCACTTGTACCAGAACCTCACTACTGACCTGCTAGTTAATGCGGATGCAGCTTGTCTATGGTTCAAAGTCAAGGTGTGGCATCTCTTCTCTCAACTAAGTGTAATGGACTCAAAGATGCAGAAAACGGGGCAACTGTCTGCATTTACAGTAGAGAGAGTTTATGTAACTACAGCACCAGCCTTGAGCCCCAGTCCTCAGAGCAAGTTCCTGACACTCCCACCTTGAAGATGCTGAGATACTTAACATGGCCATGGGTGCCTGCATGCATCACCCGGCGGAAGGTGAAATGCACTCCCTGTGGTTTTGCTCCCCTCCAGGCATGCTCTGGGAAGACAAGAAAGGACTGGCTACACTGGGGCAAGCTGGGCTTTCTGGGTGGCAATCTCCTGGTTTGACCAGAGAGTGTGCTCAGCCGACAAGGAGTTGATGGTTGTCTATAGAGTGACACCACGTGTGTCCCTACAGCAGTGCTGTGCCACTCGTTTACCCCCAGACACCTTTGGAACCTCTCAGTTAAACGCAGCAAACTTCTTTTGGGCACTGTCTAAGCTCAGGTCTCCCTAAAGCAGACCCTGATACTATTCTGGAAAGTGGTCCCAGGGCCCATGAGTCAGGGGAGGACTGGGAAGAGGAAAAGAGGCAAGGAGGGAATTCAGGTGTAGCTCGCTTGTTGCACTGTGGGAAGCTGGGCTCAGATCCACTAGGGACCTACCAAGAACCAGGTTAGACTTTCTACCAGAGACTCGAAGGAGGAAACTACGCATCCATGAGCTCCTGTCCTTACAGGTCAAGTGTTACCTTGAGGGGTGTTGGTTTCCCCACACAGTAGCCACCAACATAGCAGGTGGCCCCACAGTTACGCAATTAGTTCTAAGCAGAGCTATCGCATGCCAGAATTCTCTTGCATAACTATGGTGTCATATACTTGCCCTTTACTGAGTCCGTGATAAGTCCACGTGCTAGGCTTGCAGAACCTATGACTCTCACCATGTCATTTTTAGAAGAGGAGATGCATGCAGCCTGCCTTTTCAGGTCTGTCATCTGTAAAATGACAAGGAAGCTGACAGGGAGGCGACGGAGGGATGCTGAGGCTCCCTAGCATCTCCTGCTTCCAATGCCCCAGCAACCTTGCTCAGGAAATGTTGAAGGCTGGGATGTGTGGCCAAGCGAGACCTACTGTGGCGCAGTCACCATTCCTCTCAGGGACGCCCCTCACGTTAACTCCTCCTCCCTAGAAAGGCATTTGAGATTCTGGACAGACACAGGCATGTGATAAACATGGCTTGCTCTTTGCTTTTCCTTTATTTAAGGCAGGAATTCATTCTGTGGCTAGCTGCCATGGGTTACTCATTCTGTGCGTTACATTGAACTTCATGGAACACAAGTGCAGCTTTTCTGAAAGTGGTTATAGAACATCAATGCTAAAAGCTCCACTTATATCTCATAGGTGCCAAAGAGCCTGCAGTCACGCCAGTGGTGGAGCACTCACTGAAATCGTTTGATCGCGTTTCACTACACCATTGCATCTGTAATGGAAACTGTGAAAGGAAACCCTCCGCAGACAGCTGTAATCATCCTCGGTTACCTTGGATTTGTTTGTTATTGTTTTTTGTTCCTTCCATAAATTGTGCAATGCCTCTTATCAGGCAAGGATTAGCTAATGGGCGTATTGTTTTATCTCACTGAATAATAGTGGGAGTTAGAAAAAAGGGAAATGTTCCCCGACCTTCCCCCACTGTCTAGGCATCAGCCTTTCTGAATGTGAAGGAGCACAAGCCTGCACTCCTAAAAGGTACCTGACACATATTAACAGTTTTCTTTTTTTTTTCAGATAGGATGAATTTGGGAAAACTTTGGCAGCTTTTGGGTGATGAAGTTAAGGATTATTTCTATGTTTTATTTTTTTCTGAAATGCTCTGAACTTTGAGGAGTTTAGGAGTAATAATAATGGTAATATACCACATTGGCCTCATGCCCTTTGATTTTCAAGCTGAGTCCTTATATTATTTTTACTTTACCAATGAGGAAATCAAGGATGAGAACATGATTTGCACCTGGTCAACGCCATAGGAAGGGATGGGGTGGGACTCACGTTCAGATTCTCTGATTCCAGTTGGATGCGCTTTCTTCCAAGAATTTAACAGTTCAACCTGTATCTAATGGGCCAGAATAGACCCTTACATCCACTTAATCTCTTCATTAATAAATCTCACCAATTTGTGTGGGAATCCCACTCAAGGTCAAGGTTCCTGGTGACCCTTCTGCAACTCTTACCCCATCTTGCTGACTTCATTTCCTAATTAGAACCTTTTTCCTGTGATTTTGATTCCTTTTTATGATGAAAACACTCTGGGGAGAAGTCATACATGTAGCGTTATCAGTCATCCAAATTGTAGTGTAAAGTAATTCACTGGATTTCTTCCTGAGAGGAGGCTGAAGAAGGGTGGGAATGGAAGGACTCTGAGGCCTCCGTGTGTGTGTGTGTGTGTGCGCGTGTGTGTGCATGTGTCTGTGGAGAGGGTCACAGGTTGCTGGTACCAAGAAGAAGAAGATAAAATTTTGTCAAAAACCAATGTTCAGCCAGTCGCCTCCTCTGTCCCAAGAATGCAACCTGGAGATACTTGATTGAATTTAAAGTTTTTACTTTTATGGTTTAATCGTGCCAGGTGGGTTTATCTTGATATCTTGGTATAATCCAATTAGTTAATTTCAGATGCATCATATAAGGTGAAGAATAAAATACTAAGTAATGTCATTTCAGATGAGGATTTGATTTGTTTACTTTCCTCCTGATTCACTTTGGTTTATTCTCAATCAGCCCAGGCCGCTAAGCCTGCAAGCATTCAGACAAGATGTATAGGCGAAGAACAGACAGCAGATGTGGATAAAAGCAGCAGAAATATTGCCAAAGGCACTTTTCTCATTCCCATTGACCTCCCACACCATGTTGGAAAAGTAACTACTCTTTATTCATTACTTTTCTCCTGGGTAACTACCAGGCTTTTCCTACAATGTGGATGCCCCTTAGGCTAGATTCTTCTTTCTCAATGTAGATGCCTCAGGGAAGGGAAGACAAGCTCATTAGCAGTTGGAGACAAAATCAGAAGCTAATTGACAGTAACTGAGTATAGGAATGGGCTCTAGAATGGATTCCTGGTTAGAAATTGGACTAATGGAGGAGGGGGAGGAAGTGCGCACCGACGAGAGAGGTGAGAAATGGAACAAGAAACCAATGCACATCCCAACATGGTCTGCTGAGAAACTTAGGATAATGATCATTGTTTTCCTCGGGGTCTCAATGGCTGGCTTGTTACTCGGGAACTGACCCTCCTCCCTGCTTCTCAACCAGTCTGGATACGGGGACAGGCTTTCCAAATCAGATCATGAGATAAACACTTGCATGACAAGGAAAGCAGCGTGCTTCTCTGTGAAGGAAGGACTAGTTCCATAGCTGAGCTTCAGTTGCTCCTTCGGAAGCAGAACGGACTGCCATCTGCATCAACTGGAACCTTCTGGAAACCACGCAGTGCAAAGATTCCCAGGGAAACCTACCTGAGATTCAATTGTTAACAAAATGAAGGCCGGCTACACTCAGCTGGGACTTTTCAATAATCCCAATAAAAGGGAAGATTCGGGTCCTGCTCTGACTGTGGACTCCATCTTGGTGTTTTTAAAGTCTGTGTTGGTCAGCATTTCAAATCTAGCCGCATAGTTGTCAAAGAATTTGGCGTATGTGATGATTTTAAAATATGTCCACAGATTGTTCAGTACTCCTCCCTTCAAGAGGTGGGCCTTATTTCCACTCCTCTTGAGTGTGGCCTAGACTTGGTGACTCATTTCTAACAAATAATATAAGCGGAGCTGTTACTTCCAAGGTTAGGTCATAAAAGACGTTGTGCTCTCCACCTTGCTCTGCTTTG